GGAAATTCTTCGAGCATGCGTGTTGGATTTTGGAGGTAGTTGGGACACATACCTTTCAATGGAAGAGTTTTCGTACAGTAACAATTATCATGCCATTATTAACCGAGCTCCATTCGAGATGTTATATGGTCGGAGGTGCCGAAACACGATTTGTTAGGGCGAGGTTTTGCACCGGGTTATAGGAAGCACTAAAGTAGTGCTCAAGACAACCGAGCTGATTCAACAGGTGTACAACTGGCTACGGGCAGTGCAGAGCCATCAGAAAAGTTATGCCGATCGACATCGATCGGATCTTGAATTTCAGGTGGGGGATTTTGTGTTGCTAAAGGTGTCACTTTGGAAGGGATTTATTAGGTTTCGGAAGTGGGGCAAGCTGGGGCCTCGGTTCATAGGCCCGTTCAGGATCACGGCCCGGGTGGGCAAGGTAGCATATCCCTTGGATCTACCAGAGGAGCTTAGCCAGATTCACAACACCTTCCACTTATCTCAGCTTAGGAAGTATGTCACTGACAAGTCCGCAGTCATTTCATTGGATGATATTCAGGTGGATGAGGGCCTGAAATACATCGAAAGGTTGGTGACCATCTTAGATAGTAAGACGAAGGGTCTTCGGAACAAGGAGGTGAAGCTGGTACAGGTGAAATGCCAACACCGAAGAGGCCCCGAATGGACTTTGAAGCCGGAATAGGAGATGCAGGAACATTATCTCGATCTATTCGCAACTACGGACTTCGAGGACGAAGTCTAGTTCATGTGTGGGAGATTTGTAACACTCCAAATCAAGTATGACCTTGTAGCCCTTGAAGTATTTCAAATATGTCATAAGAAGTCCTTACGTACGTTGGGTGTACTTATGAGTACACTTAGCGTACTTGGCAAGAAGGGTCGTGGAGGGGCAGCAAGTATGCTGGGCGTACGTGCCAAAAGTCCAAACCCTAATTTTTGGACTTGAGACCTATATAAACACCCTTAACTCATTTGAGCCTCACCCTAAACAGCCTCATTTTCCTTCAAACATCTCTGAAAACCCTAATACCATTTGTGAGTGCATTTTCAGCTTTAAGAGTGCATTTTTGGTCCTTTTAGTGTTCATTCAAGAAGGAGAAGTTATCAAGGAAGCTTGGAGTGTCATTTGGCTTCAAGAATCTCCATATAGTCAACCTTGAGGAGCTTCTGGAGGTATAAAGCTTGGAACTTTCCATCTTAATCACTAGATCTAGCTAGGGTTTTCTAGTTTGGTCCCCTTTGTTGATTTTGGACCTTCTCTTGTAAGTGGAGCAACTCCAGAGGATGGAAATGTCAGATCTGAGGTCCTTTTTTCTGTTTGCAACATAAAATGGAGTCTTGGTAGGCATTTTGACCTCATGCATGGGTTAAGAACCTTAGTACGTTGGGCGTAACCTGGCATACACTGCGCGTAAGTCCTAGAGACCCAGTACGTTGCGCGTACCAGGGTGGTACGCTAAGTGTACGCACCACATATGGGCTTGGATCTGTTTGGGCCTTTTGCCTGTTGGGCCTCATTTAGTTATTGGACCTTGTTGCATTTTGGGAATAGTGGGCCATTTTATCTATTTTGGGCCATCGATGTTATTGTAGGGCCCTATTGGGCCAAGAGGCCCATTAATGATTTTTCTTCATGGAGTTTGGGCCCATTAACAACGAAAGGATATTTGGGCCTTCATGGAAGGACTTGGGGTTTTGGTTTCCCTTTGATTATGTGATGTCCTAACATGGGTTAATATTATAATTCAGCACGACAAGTTACAGAAGTTAGGAGAACAATTTCAGATTCTTCGGACAAAGGTGAGTCTTCTCACCATACCCATGGGTCCAAGGCACCAAGTGTCACACCCCGAAACCGAAGGCGGAAACATTCTGGGGTGGAGGTGACTTCATGTGAATATCATAACCAATGTACATAGTAAGCGAAGTAAAACACAAAACATTACATTACATAGATTTCATTACATCAGTTGAAAGGTAAAGTATTACAAGTTTCATAGATACATAAGTTTAAACAAAAGAAAGACGTGACTTCCATTCGCTCCGTCTTCTGCAAAAGGACGCGGGGTACCTGTCTAAGTAGAACCTGAGAATACAAGCATTTTAAAAATCAACATAAAGCTGGTGAGTTCATAAGCAGTTTGTTTTTATGAAAATGAGCAATATTCCTTTTGGTTTCTGAAAATGTTACGACGCAAGAAAATCCCATATTTTCTTAAAAGTAATGTTTGGTTATTTGTTAGGTTACACTGGTCTTGTTATGTTCAACTGTGATCCTAGGAAAATCCCATATTTTCCTAATGTGAAAGATGTAAAAGATGTAATGTAAAAGATGTAAAAGATGTAGAAGATGTAATGTGTAATGTATATGTTAGTCCACCAACCCAAAATGTAATGTAAAAGATGTATACTGAAAACCTGATTATTATAGTAAACTAATTCTTATGGTTATTAATTTACTGTATCCATTATTACTAAAAATGTAAATTTCTCTTATCCAAATTGCGAGTTCCATAACCATACAATAAACTAATTATGGCAATAAGTAGTCCATCTTACTTTATGACTTTCGTCACCCTTGAACCTTTCGGTTCGGCTGTAGCTAGCAGCTAGGTGCGGGGTAGTCAGCCCCATATAGATCTATACACTCAAGTCACGCTCCCTATCTAAGAGATTCTAGTTACAGGGGTGGTCCTCCACTCGCATATCTCTGTGGAGTGTTCTCTGAGGATGTGTCTCCAATTTATTGGAATATCAAATCTAGAAGTAATAATGAGGAAGGTCGTGTTTAAGTTCTATCTAAAAAGACTATCCTCCACTCGCGTATCTCTATGGAGTGTTACCGAGGACAAAACAATATACTAAGTTTATTGTTCAAAGTTCACAGATTATGTTTTTAATTGTTTATAATATGGAAACCATTTGTGAAAATATAAAGTACAATAATTTATAACATTTTTCACAAATATTATGATAATGAAATGTGCAAGTTCAAACGGTTAACTGATATGATTAACAGTGTTAAAAACATATGTAGTATGAAACACAACACATATAAAATAAGTTTTGAGTACAAGTATTACTTGTAATTTTCTTATATTCCCCCCTGAAAACAGTGAAAAACAATGAAAAATGGTAGGGGTATGAACTCACCAGACGAGGAAAGGTGTCGACTAGGATGCTAAACGTCGGATCGAGGCTTGAAAACGTGCGAGGTTCCTATGAAATATGAAATGATATACAAATGTATCTAATTAGACTTTAAACCACTAATTAGATAAGCTTATACATTCCAAGATGCGAAAACACTTTAATTAAGTGTTAATAGTGGCCCGGGTAGCATCTAAGGGTGTGTAGGGCCTAGATAAAGAGTTTACTCTTCAAAAATAAGCCCTTAGGGGAGTTTACGGTCCTATGACCATATTACCATCAGTTTATGGCCGTAAACTCATGGGGTGGTGTGTTCTTGGATGCTAAATGGTCTTACAATGCACAAAGGAAAGTTCTAGGGTTGATTCTATGGCTTAGGAAGTGATTGGGACTTGAAAGGGCCTTGGAAAAGTAGTTTACGGTTTATGAAGATGCTCTTGGGGAGTTTACTACCTTAAACACATGAGTTTACTACCTTAAACTCATATTTGTCCATGAATCATGCATTTTTGTGGTTGAAGGTTAAGCATACAAGGTTCTAGGTTCAATTCTAAGCCATACAAGGTGTTAAAGGCACTTTAACACCCATTTGAAGAGTTTATGGTCTAAGAAGATGGGTTTATGGTCCAAGGAGATGAATTTACGGTCTAAGAATGTTCATGGACCGTAAACTCAAGTTCGATCCGTTTACATATGTTTTGGTGCATCACATGAAGGATTATCAGGTTCTACACTCTTATGGAAGCATCA